GAGCAGATCCCAACAAGCTGAATGTAGGACGACGAGTATGTTTGTTTAACACAATTTGCAGTTTCTGTGACAGTTTTCTAACAGTCGTGTGCTACTTTTTTTTTTTTAACCCTCTGTCTGATAATCATCTGCTTTTGTACGCTCGTACACTGACACGTCATCATTTCCCCAGTGCAAAACTGAAAATAGAATAGAGAGGGGGAACGACAAAAACACTGAGTAACAGTTGTAGGTTGTGTCAGCCTTTGTTTTAATAGTTTCCAGCCTCTTCTAGTGAAATCTGCACGCCTGGGACTTCAGCACGAGCAGTGAAACAGTGACAGGCTGATGATGGTCTCTCGTGCTTTCGCTGTAGCTACTGAATAAAAGCCAGACTTGGTAAAGAGTCTGTTTGACAGTGTTTACTTTTGAAAACTAGAACAAAATCTAAATGTGGGACATCGCCTCAGTATGTGGGACAGGGGGTGGAAATGCTGTGTGCTCAAATCTAAAGGGGGGACTTTGGTCACCCTACATGCAAACTGTTACATAAAAGCCATTTCAATGCTCAACCATGTGAAACTGAGGAGTTAACAACAAACTTTCTTTCCAACTTTCTTATTTAAAAAATAAAAATCTGTCTGAATAATTGTGATTTGCTTTATTCAGAGAACAAAGTTGTTTACTTTCTTTATGTTCTCCTGTGTGGATCACTGTAAGGATCCTACCTCTAACTCATCGTCAGCGTGCTGTGGTGCAGCACCTGGAGACCAACTACAGCTCTAAGCTCAGTCGAGGGAACTATGTTAGTCAGTTTCTCCTGAGAAAACCTGCAGGAGCAAAGGGGGGTAAAAACAAACGAACCACACAGAAACATCCTGCCACTCAGGGGGTTCGAACATGACACTTTCCTGCTGCGACAAGACAGCGAGCCACTGTTTTTGGATGCCTAATTCAGCCTCTTTTTCATACAATTCCCATAATCAGCAGCTTTAGTGGAAAGAGTGAATTTCCACACAACACCCATCGTAACGGAAGAAACAGCCGTGCAGACAGTTCATATAGAGCATACGACCTTTATTGTGGGGTAGCCTCGGACTTTGTAGGTTTTGCAGAGCTCCCTGTTCTCCTGATCAGCGCAGTCTATAGCTGCCAGATCCACAGCCGGCTTCCACTCTGAACAGACATCAAACAGAGGGAGACAGACCCACAGTAAATATTTATTTACAGTCTACTTTGCTGTGTAGAGTCCATCAGCAGTGGATGGGGCCCCGAATTAGAAGGTACGGGCTTTTAGGATAAAAACTTCTAGCTATGAGCAAACTGTCAGCTGCTACAGGTGAGCAGCGTTTTCCTTTGATGTTCATTTTAGAAACTTTGCTTCAGGAGCAGGATTGTGGCCGTCCACACACCCGACAGAGGTCCAAGGCTCCTCCGGTGCTGCTCCCAGTCTAAAATCATTACATTGCGAGCATTCCTAATCCCTCCACAAATCCTACTGTGAAGTTACTTTGCCGTTTGATAGCATGCCAAGCCGTGGATGCCACTGTGGACTGCGAGTGAAAGCACTGGACTGAAATACCCTGTGACTGTTGGGCCGCAGCCATCATCACAAACTTCGTCCTTAACCATCATCCTAATTATATTTGCTCGGATGCTTCTGTGAGATTCTCGTTGGCAGCGGCTGCAGGAGCGACTGTGAGTTGGAGAGGATGTGAGAGCAGCGAGCAAAATAACAACACTTCCATTAGATCACATGCTCTAATTAACAGTTGGAAAGTGCAGCTTGGTGTTCTCATCGTTTCCGCGCAGAGATGAAGCTCGAGAAATATTTAAAAAGATTAAATTATAGATTTTTTTATCCTTAAAATGTTTAGCAGAAGCTTCTTTTTAAGGCAGCTGTGCGGAGCTGGAAGTGGACACAACGAGAGTGGGAATGACTGAAAGCTTTCAAATG